TCGCATGATAAGAAGAAGCGAAATTCGTTCCCGCTCATTGTCTCTTCATAGTAATTCCCAGTTTAAGAAAAGTTACGCTTTTCTTTTTTCTCGTTTTTAACTTTGCTATTTGTTTTGGCGACGGAGGACTTAATCCAGAACTAGTTACAGAAGAATCTGAAGAATTGGAATCGCAATTCTGCAAAGAGTTTGATATTGCTTGGCAATTTGGGACAACCGTCCCAAATACAGCATTCAAGAAGAAGTGAGCAAGTTTTCGTGAAGAAAACAACTAGGCAGCCCGGGACTGATGCTGGAGTAGACGGGTTGAGAAGAAAGTTACTTAAGCAAGTTTCGTAGTCCAAAATCCTATCGTTTCGACAAAATATAAAAAAAAAAAAAAAGTTTGGTAGTCCGACCAGTTTATAAGATGGCGTGATTCGAGAACTTGAAATATGCAACGCTTTCTCTACCCGTGATAAACGACTTCGTGATATGCAGATAAGATGCCGTACCATAGTATAGGTGATTGAATCACGATGACGTTTTGGTACCAAGGAAAATTTCCAGTGTGACCCTTAAAAAGTCTACATATTGTTTGTGAGGCCTCCACAAGCTTGAAATAATGGCACTACCACATCTTTCTGTTGTCCTATAAATTTGATAGCCAGTCACAATCTGCAGAATAACTTGTGATTTTCTTGGAGCCAATAATTTACACACACACACACACACAAACTTTGGCTTGATATAACGTTAATTTGGCAAAATCATCTTAAAATTGAATAGAATGATGCAAAGTTCATGGATAACATTAGAATCAGTACGTACAAGAATAGCCCCTTTCATACTTCCGTGTGCTCTGTTAAGCACAAGGTCAAAAGAACATATAAGAATTTTCAGCTCAAGGACCTAACAAGAATCTTCAATTTGTGATGAGACTAAATTAAAGTGTACAACACAAAGAATGAGAAAGAGAGGAAAAAAACATGTAAGGATGCTAAGGTAGGCGTGGAAATTTTGAAAAATTTGGTGGTCTGTGTTGCAAGTAGGCATTCTTCCCCTCGTTACCTTCCTCAGTTCCGTAAAATATCAGGGTTGCATTTCCTCCAAGCTCCTGCATCGCAGATACAAGTTGTAAATCAGAAAACATTGATTCAGTGAAGCATTGGCCTGTCTTTATTCTGTAGACCTGTGAAAGGGAATTTCGAGCATATGACAGCAAAGAATGGGAAGAAAAAGAAGACATGGAGGAGCATGCAGATCATCCTGGAATCAGTCTCAGTTTTACTGATTACAGTCAAAAAGTTTTGAGGCCATGCGAGATGCTGAGCTTGTCTTGTAGTACCAAAATTCAAATTTGAGTCATACCTGAAGTCCAGCATGCCCATCATCAACTGCATTTAGAGCTGCTTTGAGCACTCGAATTGCGGTGGGGCTATTCCTTAGGATCTCTCTACACCACTTAACTGTTTCTTCTTCCAATTTCTCTAGCTGGAGAATAGAATTAGTCAAATTTTTAGATAATTGAGAACGTGCAGATCAACATTACAATGCAACAGGTATGAATAATTATGTGGAAAGAGTGGTTTACTTGTTACCAAAATGCATAGTGTTCAGAAGCAATGGAAATTGGGCATGGTATTCTACAGATATTCCTAATTTCTTCTTTTTCTTTTTATTTTTTTTCCACGTTGCTGAAGAGAGGATGAGTGCGATATTTAGCCATCAATCAACTTACTGGGACAACAGTATTTACGAGTCCCATTTTCTCTGCTTCAGAAGCTGTGTAGAACCTAGTCAGAAACCACATTTCCCGTGCTTTCTTTGGCCCAACCTAACAGAGAAAATGAGTAAACAGAATTATTGACGGATAAGTACAAATGTTATCTGGGCAAAAAACATATCCTTGTATTGAACATGCCCATCAGAGTTTTCAAAAACTGAACAAGCTGACCAGTTTGAGTTAACAAAAATGAAGCTTAATGGCTACTATGTTTTCACAAGTTTATGAAAACCAATGCAATGATAAGAGGATTGTCCAGCTCCAAAACTCACCAATCTGGACATTATCGAACTTCCATAGCCAGCATCAAAGCTTCCCACCTGCAATTTGCATAACTCGATCAGGTTTCTGACCCTAGTACTTCCGTATGCCATAGACACTTAAGTTAAGCAACAAATGGAGAACTGAAGAAGCAGAATTTAGATATATGCATCAAATGGTCACATCTGCAGATATAGCAATGCGAATTTCTAGCTTCTTTGCAGTTCCTATTGACAAGACATGGAAATGCTTGATTTTGCCTTTTGCAAATCTTATGAAAAACCAGTTTTGCATGCCAAAAATCAGCCGTATATAAGTCTAACATTCTGCCAATTGGTCTCTCAACTCTATTATTGGTTTTAAAACTAGTTTTGTCCAACCACGTGCAGATATCTAAATATAACAATTCTTGTGAGCTTGCTGGGAGAAATCAGCAATTAAGTTACAGTCTACTTCAGCTTATGGACAGTATACAATTCTCTTATATGCCAACATAAGACAGCAATATTGATAAAGCACCTTAGGACCTGTCTGACCAAAAATAGCATTTTCTGCAGCAATTGTTAGATCACAGACCATATGCAGCACATGTCCTCCCCCAACGGCATAACCTGCAACCTTGTTTCAAGGAGAAGATCATACATATAGAAATCATTGAAAGAAATGTAACAGTAAAATCTGATTTTAAAAAGGCCGCCCAATTGACAAAGTAAAGCCTACCATAGCAATTACTGGTTTTGGTAGACGACGAATTTGCACCTGCAGAAAAGTAGGAAGAAACTATGATGAATAGAAAGCAGTGACCATATACAAGATATCATTACTACAAGTTTCTCATAAAGGATTTCTCTTCTGGTGTTTTGGGCTTAACATCATTAGATTGAGAGAACCAAAAGCAAGCGATTGTATGCAATCAAAATGTAGATTTTCATTGAATTCTAGTACTTGCCTGCAAATCTAAAACATTGAGGCGACCAAAACTTTCCTTATCAGCATAGCCATCTTTGCTTCTCATTGATTGGTCACCTCCACTGCAAAATGCCTTGGTACCCTGCTTATAAGTATGTAAAACTTATTAACCTCTTGAATTGTTAGCCTGTGAGACCTAAAAAGAGAGGAGGCACTTAACTGTCACTGCATTAAACTGAAACTACTAAAATGGAACCTCCCATCCCCCTCCTCACCCTTTCCCAACATTTACTTTCTATGTTACCAGGGGAAAAACTCTAGAAAAGACTGCAAAATGAGCAATCATCAACTGCTCTTTTTGCATGGTTGATTATGTAATACCCTGTTCAAATATATGTGGATAAGTATCCGCCAACCTATCAGAGGATTTCCTCCTATAATTTTGTTAGTTACAACACAAAATTCGACTGCACCATAAATTTGTTGATGAAGTTTGTCTCTTAAGTATGTCATATCTATGATCATGTATCAACGGGCACTGAGAAGGTACTAAGAAAAGGTTGGCAAATTGATGAATAAACTATACTCTAATACCATATTTCAGTCTATGCTACCTTCTTGAACTTGTACATTCATGCGATGTAACTTCCAACTATTTAAGAAACCTATGACATAGTTTATGGAAATCTCAAACATGCTTGCAAGAAAGTTACCTTTCCTGTGAGAATTATGACCCCCACAGATCCATCATCCCTGGCATCATTAAATGCACGAATAAGTTCCTTAATTGTGTGTGGTCCAAAGGCATTTCTTTTCTCTGGCCTGTTAATTGTTATCTACAACTCACAATTGAAAGAACAGATCAAAGGCAGCTATTCAGCATAAATGATATACATATGCAATGATTTGGCAAGAGAAGCAATAGCACCTGAAACCAACCAAAATATTAGCTCTCAACTAGGAATAGAACCTTTTTATGCAGAAAACGAAGGTGAAATATAGTTCAGTGGATAAGGGCCTGTCTTCCTAATCTCGGAAAGAGGGTTGGATTTGTCCCGCATTCGCTTCCATAAAACTTAAAGAATTACCACAAATTAAGGTTCTATAAAGGTGAACATTTTCTTTAGTTCAATGTGGTTCTATAACTCCTTCCCTTCTTCCCTTTGGAACAAGAACATAATTGATACTCTACACCACTCTCTTAGTAAAATGTTTCCACAAACAGCACGTAATTTTCTGAGGATTATGACGAACTGAAACACTATAGCATGCAATTCCGTGTGAATTATTTTCCCTAATTGTTAATAGTACAAATGCAGCAACTTGATGATGATTTTTTGAACAGACCTTGGCAATGCCTTCTCCAACAGCTTTTTCATAAATAATGTCAGTAAACTCCTTGCCAGACTCATCACTAGCAATGAGTCTCCAAATTGGCTCATGAGTAGGGACTTCCCCATGCTTTTTGTGGTAGCTGTCGTCCATAGAAGAGCTGCAGCTTGAGAACCCAATTGCACCATCATGACTAGGATTGAAATGGGACGCCGGCATGAGATGGCTAGCTACAGAGGCCACTCTTCTTCTCATAGTTTCAACATCCTTCCCAGCCATGCCTGCCATTCTTGCAGCTGGCTTGGAAAAAATCAGAGGCAATTAATTTCTTGAATATGATGTTTTATGAAAAGTGTAAATGAAGAGGAAGTGGAATGGGACTTGATGATAGCTAGGCGGGAGTAGAGTTTTGTGTGGTGAAGAGGTTGACGATGACAGACATGTTTGCATTAACGTTATCTGAGTTGATAGGAGAATTTGATTGGATCATCGGATAACGGATGGGGATTTTGCGGTTCGGGTTGGGTATGCAATGTGAACTCAGGGAACTGAAAAGCCCGTGAGATTGACCCGTATTGGGTCTGTTATGGAGGGTTGGTCCTCTTCCAACCATAGGCCCATTTGTCTAATGGTTTCTTGGGTTTCCACGAGCCCATCTTTCAAACAAATTTGTCGGCCATTGCATAAAATACGTATTTAATGAGAAAAAGTTAAAAAAAAAAAAAAAAAAAAAACAGAGGGGAGCACTAGCAGAGAAAAACAACCTGACGGTGACGAACTTTGACTGAAAAGAATTCCAGTCTTCTAGTTCACCCCCAGTTACCGGGTCGCCAAGAACAGGAAGAATGGCACAAGCCTGAGAAGCAAATGGAAGCCTTGGAAAGCAGAATGTTTTCTGAAGAAAACGGCTTCTCTACAGTTTCTGGTAATTTCTTATCTCCGTGAACATCTGAAACTGGAATATAATAACTTGAATACATATGGGCAGCTAATGGCCTAACACATTTAGTGAATTGATCTCACTGAAGTGAAATTCATGAATTTCATACCTTGTTCTTCTAAAAATTTTAGTTTTTCTGCGTGTGAATTCTTTAGAGATTGATCTATTTGAATTGCAAGTATATTGGGATATATCTTCACTGCATTTGTTACGTGTATAAACGCAATTGCCTGTAAGAGTTAGGAAATGGTTAAGCTTTGCTTGTCAGCAGGTTGCTATCATAGTAATCAGACCATAATTGGCTCTTTATGCAATATTTTTATACATTTGCCAGTTTCAACTTTTGGTATGTGGGATTAGGAAGTTTGTATGATGTATTTAACTTTCAAAATGTACCACTTACTGTTATTCCATTTGTAGTCAATACAGCTTCTTGATAAAAGGTTAACAAGCATCTACCCTGAAGCTCATGGAAGAGTCTGGTCCCCGCAGAATCCAGTTCATAAATTAAGAAAAACTTTGCATGTATTCGAAAAAATTAACATTGTAATGTCAAAGTCTTCTATTTCTTGTGCTTGAATCACTTTGGAAGGGCAGATTCTAGCATGGAGGATTACAAAGATGGGTTATTCATCGGGGCCTGCCCGGACCTTTAAGAGGAGTCATCAGATGTAATAGAGATGGCTGTTCACTTCTCTGCATAATTGAGAGCACTATTTACACTTTCTAGTTTAGACTTATTTTGCTATCTCGACTTAGGATGACCTTGTTACACCATCTCCTTGCATAACTAGTTACTCATTCATTCAGATCTCTGGGGAAAGGATTATATGGTGTGTAATGGGCACCTCTTAGTGTAGGAAGGATCCGATGCAAACGGATCACTGGGTTAGAAGGCATATTTGGGTGCCTATACGGGGTTCTTCTGTCACCATAGTGAACATTTCTCCATTTCTTATGATAGGTTGAATCAAGGTATATTTGTATGCTAAAAACAAACTCAAACTTTCTACAAGTAGTTGAATGTTGTTTACTGCTTTACCCTTATTGTTTAAAACCTATTGCGAGTTATTATTGTTGCTCCAAGTTTAGGGACAGCTATGTTTTTCTTGGAATAAAACTCCTTTTTGACTTGTTCAAGGGAACAAAATCACCTCACAACATTTTTTTTTCTGAGAAAACTATAGCTGCACTACTATGGATCCAATGTCTCAACTTTTTGAGGGTACTTAATTACATTTATTGGATGGCTTTATATTTGAGTAATACTTGAAGAGATACTTGAATACATATAAACTGGTTGTTCTCTGATACTTTTGTGAGTGAGAGTATGCATAATCTACATGGAGGTTATTGAAAATTTATGTCTTTCTGGATAAGGTAGTTTAATGACTTTCAGTATCCAAGTGTTTGTCCCTGATCCATGTTGGTGCTTTAAAAATTTTTGCCTCCTTTTTTTTATGGATTAATCTTTCCTACACTGACAGTGCATACACTGTCAGCGTTGGATGAATGACAACCATGCAAAATTTGAATTTGAAATTCAACTTTTGCAGACATGTCATGAATCCAACGATGATAGTGTATACACTGTCAGTGTATATAAGATTTACTCATTTTTTATTCAACACTGTCATGCTTGAAGAGGATTCTAAAAGGTTTTCTAATGATAATAACAGCTTTCAGCTTAGCTCTAAGGCACTAGCAGATCTTTTGGAATCTTCTTGCAGCAGTTGCCAAAAACACTGGCATTGACGGGTTCATACTCCTTTCGAAGAAGGACGCTGCAGAGCTGTCAAAGTAGAATCTGGTAAAAGCAACTTGATGGGTTCAATGGGATTATGCAGTCAAATGTGCACTGCCCATATGGACAGGATGGAATATTAGCATACAATCTTGCTACTTTCTCTTTGCTTGCTATTTGGATTGTCTCGTAACTACTGGAGTCCTTGCAGGTACACTTGTTCCAGGCATTCCCCATCCCCCCTGCAACTTTCTCTCCAAATTGTTTCCATTAATTAATTTTAGTTGCTGGATACTCTTTCCATGACTGTGATCTTGAAATATGTTTTACCATTCCAATGAATTTGATTGAGCAGGATATGAGTATTGGTTTTTACATGTTGGTTATCCATGCATCCTTGTATGTTGTTAAGAACTGAAGATTTCAGGTGCTATACTTTTTTGTTCCTTTTTTCTGTAGCCACTTGTATAGATTTAAAACTGCACTATGCATAGCAGATACATTATCAAGCTGTAGGTCAAACTGACCTGCTGACATATTTAACATAGTAGACAAAGCTTCAATATTTTTTACTATCACACTCTAAGCTACTAAATTGTTGTATATCGAACCAATGAAGCTCATAATATCCTGGTAAATACTAATAATATCGGTATAGTATGTATTCTAACATATGGACTAATTTCTACTGATGGTGTGAAAGGGTCGGAAGAAAGAGGCCGACCACTCAAATAAATGCAACCAATATACAATATCTAACATGAATCATGATCTGCTTGAATCCTGTTGCCTGGTGGCTTACCGATCTGTAAGCACTCAATTGGAGGTTCAGTAGGAGAATACAGCTCCCCAAATGTCTGCCAACAGTAGGGGTCATACATATGGTAGCGTTCTTGCAGCGGTTTTAGTTCAATATCATTTAGAGTTACTTGCGTGCAGGGAACGTTGTCACTGCATGCCAAATGCACTGGTTTTACTGTGTATGTTCCTCTTATGTTCTCGTAGTGGATTCCTGATAGAGCCACAGCCGATGATTGATTCTTGCATGTAGTCTTGTCACAGTAGAATTGATCAATTACAATAGGAAGTTGGACCTCGGACACTATAATGTTTGAAAACAGAACTCCTTGCACTGAACCTGATCCTCCCTGTACAAGTAATATCCAAGTTAGAGAAATCTTCTATCAGATTAGGGGTATTTATAGAAATATTGCCTTTATTATCAGAAGTGGAAAAAACATCGTTGATTCAAAAAAAGTTCAAAAAGGACAGAAGTCAACTTCAATTGTCCTCAGATTCTTTCCCAGAATTTTGAAATTTCTACTGAACCAGACAAATTTGGGAGGGTAGCCATACCTGCCACGTCTTTATTCTGACACCATTCATGGTCTGATGCATAATGATATCTCGGATTGTGATGTTCGAAACACAAGCTCTGGTCTCATCTTTTCCTAGGCCTCCAATACTGATTCCATGTCCTGGCCCACAGTTTATGTTATGAATGTACACGTTTGTGCATCCAGTTTGTATTGATACACAGTCATCTCCTGCAAAGACAATCCTCTTGTTAGAAGTTTTCTAAGGCTTGGTTATTAGGTTTTATGTCTTAAGACTGGCCTGTGCAAAGAATTCTATTTTATTTCATGTTATCTGTTAGAGTTGCCCTTGTTTAGGTTTAGAGCTTCCTTATCTACTAGTAGAATCATAAACAGAAGTGCTATTTTGTGAACATGACAGCGAGTAGAAATGAGGAAAACATGTGGTAAGGGAATGTTATTTTCTCTTTGTGGGGCTGACCAACAAATCCTGTGAAGGATCTCTCTTTTAACACTCAGGCTGTGACAAGTGTTGTTGTGCCTCGGACAGAAAACCGGTGGTCAACTAGGTGCAAGTAATAGATGTATATGCTTCCAGGTGGCAAATGTAAAGGTTGGAATTTACAAGTTGTCTTACTGGATAAGGTGCAGAACTATTTTAGATAATTGGCAAATGCTGAATCTACACAATTAAATCAATTGACTAAAGATTCTATTTTGTTTGTTAATCTAATGAATTGTTAGAAAAAAAACTTGACCATGCATTACCGCAAGCAACGTTGGTACTACGGATAAGCACATCTCTTGAATTCTGTAAGTGAATTCCGTCTGTGTTGGGACTGTCTCCAGGAGATGAAACACTGAAGTTATACACTGAAACTCCAATGCAAGTATCAAACTTGAGGTGGCACTGAGGACTGTTTTGAATTGTTATGCCTGTGACGGACACATTAAAGCTTCCATAAAACCTTAGTGCCTGCAGTAAGAAAGTGTGATTTGTAAAGGTTGAAGGGTCAGGAAGTTCGAGGCTGAAGTCCTGATTGTTGTAGTTGCTCTTACCGTTGGTTTTATGCTCGGCATTTTTCCACCTAGAGAGCCCTGGATCTGGTGCAAAGAATTTGTGCTTAAAATCAGATACAAAATAAACCTGATGCAGATAGCAGGGAGAAGGAAGAGCGATAATTACAGGAATTGATGGATTTCTTCCTACTGTTCCGTTCAACGGGACAATTAGTTTTGATTCGCTGTCTACAGGATGTTGAAGTGGGGAATCTTGCCACCATGCTGCACCTCTTCCATCAATTGTGCCACTTCCCTGAATTGTAATTCCCACCAGCTTTGTAAACTGAAGCCACTGTAAAGTACCTGAGCCCCAGGCACGAGTGTTTGTTGGTGCAATTATTGTGCCATCTAACTGCAAAAGATTTGATGGCTTAGTTATGGGTAATCTGTAATATGAGTTGCTACAGAAATGTCTAATGGAAGGAAGGGGGAGGCGGGTCTTCAACCTAGGTAGAGAACCTGATTGACCACACAAGACCACCCTGGGGTGGAATATTTTACAATGCAATGCTGGAGGCAGAAATATGTCATTGGTTTTTTTCATCCAAAGTTTCTGAAATCATGTTTCTTGGTGATTGAAGCTTCGGATTGTCATACAGATCAAATTTACTGTAATCATGAGCATTGGGCATTTAGGTGTCGGTGGCAAGGAGGGGGGGGCTGAATCAATTGTGAATCAAAACATTTCAGTATGTTGAGAAGTGACTAAAATTTTCTTCATTTCTCTGCAGATGTTTGTAGGAAGAATTTACCTGGAATACAATGTCATGCTGACAATAAGGGCCAGAGAACGAAATTGGGCCCACAAGGAATACAGAATCTGATGGGACAACAATCGTTGATGCCTCAACTTTACAAGCGGCTGCCCATGCTGCTTGGAACGCCTGTAACATAAAATATTATTCCACAAGAAACTCATCAGTGTTTGTTGTTTTCAATTTGTTAATAGCCTCCACGATTCAGGTTAGAATTAACTGTAAAAATTCTTCCTTCTCTATAGCTCCTCGTCTGTCTTTCTTTTTCTAATTTTTATACAAAAGAATTTAGGCGAGATTATATGGGCATACATGAATTTTTTAAGTTAATTAGTTGTTGGTTTAGTGGAGAAGCATATGCAATCATTCTTAGTATCTCCGGTGCAAACTGCCATAACGAGAATCACTCACATGCGTGGTCCCTCCATGATTTTGTTTGCGAGTGTCTGGCCGTCCTTTTTGCGGTTACTTTTTGCCACTATATAATTCTGTGCAGCTTAGAATATGTCACAGTTACCTACCTTTTTGTCCTCGCCGTAGCGATCGAACTTGTTTATGATGAAAGTTGACCACAGAATCAAGGGGATAATATAATACCCTCTCCGATAGGGCTTTCTGAACTGGCTGGCTGGCTACCATGGCATGGATGGGTCACACTACTTTCTCTCGTCTTGTGAATATGTTATTATTCTACGTTGTCCTAAAGAAAGGATGCTTCTTCATTTTTTTTTTTTTTTTGATGAATATTCTCACTTGGAAATCATGACATGAAAACGACGATGCATTTGGATCGTGACAGAGTACTTAATGCGTTATTGATCGACTAGCAGAAGTTAATAATGAATTTTGAAGAATTTGAACTTCGTTTGTATGTGTGCAACATTTAAAGCCTTTAGTACATACATTAAATACTTGTGGGATTCACTATAATTAATTAGAGTGACTCTGTATCGGACCATATGCCCTCTGATACCAGGTTTCTCCTTAGAATCTGGCTCTGATACCAGACTTTATCAGAGCCGCATGTACTAACACTTGTTGATGCAAAAAATTAAACAAATAAAGTTGCTTTAGAAGTGACATGCATGGTGCTCACTGTGCTTGGAATGAAGCGAGTTTAGTAGGAAATTCTATGAGCATAGACAGGGTGACTGCATTGAAATGCTTTCATTTGTTTAGTTAGTCAATTCCTGCCTGCGACGAAGGAAAAGAAAAAGAAACGAGTGGTGGTGGTGGTGGTGGTGGTGGTGGTCCAGGTTCTTTTTATCGAGTGATGGCCGCATTATCAATGCATGGTAAGCTTTGCTGTCCAAGTTGAAAGCATGAAAATAATTTGAATTACCTTGGTATCATCTGTGGTTCCATCCCCCTTGGCTCCAAAATTTAACACATTGAAGATGGAAGTAGAAGGTGCATTTCCATAACCTTTCTGTGGTGGCCTTGGTGCGAGGATGGGAGGTGATGGCCTTGATGATATCGGTGGTGATGGTGTTGAAGAGGGTGGTGAGAATGCCGGTGGTGCTTTTGGGGATGGAGTTTTCTTTTTCGATTTGTTAACATGGCCATGATGGTAACCAGTGCCATGAATTTTTCCTTTCTTCTTGGACAAAGAAACTCCAATGCCTCTGCTCTGCCTCCAATGCTTGCCTCTTCTTGCATAGCAACCTTCCATGCTTGAAGACCAAATAAGAAGAACAATGATCAGCAAGAATGTGAAGTGCCTGCAGCTGATAGAGCCCATGGTTGCTGTATATTATATTGGGGAAGAAAAAGGTGGAGGAGGAGGAGGAGGGGGTAGGGCGTTTGGGTTCTCTACTTCCAAAGTATAACCAACGGAGGGGTTTATATAGAAAGGAGGATTTATGGGTTAATAAAAGTCTAAGTACTTGGGTAGATGATCAAACACACTATTTGATAATGCTAGGCATTCATGTTATATTCTCCTTTTTCTCTTTCATTCATTATTTGTAATATATACATATATTTTTTTTCACTTTTTGTGAATTTGTCTTCACTTTTATGTAACTCAAACTAACTGGGAGGTCCGTCCCTTGTTGGCATGCGGAAATGTAAAGTTAAAATGTGTCCCGTCCAACGTCCCATGCAGAACCTATCAGCTTAATTTTTTTCATTGCCTGTTTAGGCACTTTGTTCCACTAAACAATGCTAAGAATTGTTGGCTTATACAACTACAAATTTTTCTTTGTTCATCAATGAATTGTAATCATGCGATCAATCTCAAAATATCGTGTGGTGCATATTTTTCTTTTGTGGGTGCTTTAATTGCATTTGGCGAAATCTTCTATCGGATCCAACACACTCCGCAGTTATCATCTAGTCTTAATAGTAGTACCTTTCTCTGCAATTCTTTCATGGAATGTGGTATTACCAGCGACCGTTTGGTATTGACATAGTTAATGCTGTTTTTTTTTTTCTTCTCATGGCATTTAAAAAAGCCAAAAGAACACGTGAGTGGGTCTATAAGTTGTCAAGGGCACTGATTATAACAGCTCTTTATGATCACATGCAACGTTCACGGGCTTCAGTTTTGTACTTTGTCTTCTGAACCGGCAGCACTGGCCTCACGCTGGCCTAAGCCTCAAATCCCCTCTCATTTCTGATAAGCCTAAGCTTCAATGCCTCCCTTTAGCTTTTCTTCCATACTCTTCCCTTGATGGTTCTTTTGGCATTTCCCCAATGCCCTTTTCGTTTCTTCCTCCCTTGCAATGTTTTCTGGGTTGGAAAGGGTTGTGGGGCTCGTACGTGTGAACTAGATGAATTTACTGAATACATAGCGGAAAGGCGAAATGAATGATCTTTTTCTTTTCTTCTTCGTTTTTATTTTTCCTGAACTGAAAATGAAAAGAGGGAACCATAAGTTGCGAATTATGATAGTCATAATGGAATGTAGCTAGCTAGGTGTGCATGTCTTTAACTTTTTGTGAGCAAGGAGCTTTCTTGAATGTGTAAAGAAAGAATGCAAAGCTGTTAGTAGTTAGCAGCAGCAGCATAATTTATGGTAGTAGATACTACTGTTTATGTTGCGATTCTAATGTTCTACACTGTATTTCGTCTACGTCCGAGGGGTAGGATTTTCCTTTCCTTCTTTTAATTTAGGGAATCGGAATAGTGGAAACAGGAAACTGCCCTACCAAATGACATGGTAGGAACATTCTCAACAACATATACGTATTGGCCGAACCAAAAAGCGCGACAGTTGACAAATGCAATTAAGAATTTCAACAAACTGACGAAAATGTATGACTTGATGTAAGCGAAATGATATGTGTAGTTAAACTTGGCTTATCCTTCCTTGCTTCAGCCACACTATTACGCCCTGCAAAACCTTGGCTCAGAGGTTGAGAAAGGGAAACACGCACGACCCCAGATTGATCGCCCAGCGTGATCGCCTTGGGTCCTTTGACCTCCTCCTCCGTTTTTCTTGATAGCATACGGAACCAATCTCTCTCACTCACTAAAGCATTTCACGCCCCCCTGCAGAACAGACAGACCACAGCCATACATAGTGAGTCATCTACCGCAAAGGATGGCCATGTTAGATTCACCAATGTCGGGTCGACATCAGTTTCCAGCAGCTTCACCCTCAACATAGTTTTACTTGGCATTTAATGTCAAATAGGTTCAAGGGGATGTTGGGTAAATGGTTCCACCTGTGAGGATGAGGATCAGAATCGGGTATCCAAGTTAATGTTAGGTACAGCACCATGGAATTCAATCGAAATTAAAGCGTCAAGACATTTTTCTCCAATCATTCCTTACTTTTGATTTAGATTCCAAAATGATCAACTCATTGGCTGAATTATGGCCGTTCCACTTTCAAACTAAACAAGCAAAGGCAGTGGCGGAGCCAGAAAAAAATTTCAATGGGGGTAAAAATAATTCTAAAATTTTTTACCTACTCTTTTTTTAGTTTTATAAGGAAAAAAAATGTTCACCAACAAGTACAAATAATGCATATATTTCATGAAAAAAATCAAAAGACAAATTCAAAATTATTAATGTAATAATAATTTTATTTCAAAAGCAAACTAAACCATTTACAATTGCTTATTATGTGTTTTCATATTTTGATAACAGTTTACAACCTTTTCATTTTGAACTTCACGAAATATATTTTTTTGCAATATAAGTAACTAAACTATTATTCATTCAAGTGTTTTTCATTCTATTTTGTAACCGATTCTTCACTATATTCATCATTTAAAAAACCCTTTCTACGGTAGCTGTAATAGTAGATAAAATCAAAGACAACTTTAAAAGCATATAAATCAATAGATATACAAAACTCCAAGAGGGGCACACTTGAAATTATATCAAATTTTTATAGGTATTATAGAAATTTAAGGGAGGCAGTGGAGGCCTACAAACCAATAGGTACGCAATACTCCAAGAGTCACTCTTAAAATTACATCAAATTTTTATAACTATCATAGAAATTTTAAGGGAGCAGTGCGGGCCGTGCCCCCAATGTAAATCCGCCACTGAGCAAAAGGGGAATGGCTACGGCCTATATATATATATATATATATATATATATATATATTGGGAATCAAGCACCTCCTAATTGAGCTAGGTTATGTTTAGCCCCTCACGTCTTAAAGCAAATTATTTTGCTGATTGTGATTTAAGCCAATAATGCATGATATTGGAAGTGTCTTGTGCCCATTTCATTATGCAAATGTACGTACGTCATTAGAGCTTCAGATTCAGCTTGATCGAAAACGGAAACCCACCAGTGCACGATCAAGTACTTGCCCTTGTCGTTGATGTCCTGTATTTTTAATCAATAAATGTTTTCGACGTCTATAGCAGGAGCAGCATCTCTTTTTCTCTGTTTGTATTGTGTGACACAGACAATTTTAATAAATTGTGGTGTCATTCTGTTCAATCAACTAGTATTCGGAGCTTGGTCCATTCGTGCTCAATTAGTCTGCTTCCACTGAACATCTCATCCCATTGTTCGCAAGCCACAGACGGAATATCTTAATTATCCCGTTGTGCAGTCCAGTAAACGTATCGTGCGTAAGATCAGATTTGACAACCCTTCTTGATTGTCTTTCCTTGTAATCCTTAATTACATAAAATTTACAAAAGCAAATACTGTAGTGATTATGATTGAACTCGGAATTATGTAGATACAATACAAGTTCTTGCACGTCCATTAGCAGCAGCAGGCTAGGCGTCATCTTTCGTGGTTGATGCCATGGGGAAGATGAATAATTGTAAACAAAGGAGAAAAGAAGATGGCTTAATAAATTTCATTAACATTATTAATACACGTGCATTAAGTTGGACCTTCTAAGCCAATTCTCTTTTGTTTGTGGGAGAAACATATGAGTTGTCTCGTGAACTTTGGGGCCCTCTCGTGAATTTCATCATGCACGGGATGTTTTGAGCTTACTGATTGCTGATTTGTGACCGACTGCGGCTGCAAACTTTTTTTTTTTTTTTTTTTTTTGTGCTTCAAATTCAATCTTCCCCCGTCTGTCTGTCGTGGGAAAACGTTTGGGGATGCACATCAAAGTAAAATTTTATTTTATTATTACATATATAATACACCCCTATTACAATTTATACACCGAAGAAAAAAAAAATTACAGAATACGAGAGGGAAAAAGAAAAAGTAGACCGATTGTTGTTGGTTCACGGATTGTCGAGGAAGTACGCGTGTTGAAAGCAATAACGTTTCCAATTCTTAGAGGAAACGTAATAATAAGTTGCCGCCATTTTCGAGCGATGAAAAGGATTCACCAATGCATAACAGTTTGGGTGCTGTGGTGGTGCCGTTGTTTTCTTGGTTCATGGTTTGGTGGTGTTTGTTGTTCAGCATGTGAAACTTCAGTTGGACAATTTGTTTTTATTCTGCGAATGAATGATCAGGTTTTTTTTTTTTTTTTTAAATTTATATCGAAACCAAAAAAAAAAAAAAAAAAAAAACTGACAACAATGAATGGTTTGTCCTGGCCTGCTTGTTTCGTGGCCAACAACAGAAACCATATCCAATGGTATTCACGGATTTCTTTGAGGACACTCACTGATCGATGTTTCTGCAATTGTGTGTGTATATATGTGTATATATTCTTGTTTTGAAGGAGGATCTGTGGCCTGATTGCCTTTCGGGTACCGCATGACTTGGCCAATAATGCAAGGAAGCTCTCATGACCCAGCAGTACACCCACATAATCAGCAATCAGCAGTACACCAAAGCACGTGCACCATCAATATCATCATCTTCACTCATCCTGGGGCCACACGTGACACCTTCCTTCTTGTATTTCTGATGGATAAATAAATCTAGCTGCAAGTCTCAGCAAAGTAATTTTGGTACGTACATCAGGGATTTAGATTAGGGGTGTGTGTATATATATATATATATATATATATATATATGAAGGATAAAGTACATATTAATGTAAATTTCATGTACACAATAATGTCACCACTACCATGTTCCTAGCTACCTCCAAAGTTAAAAAAAAAAAAAAAAAAAACGGTCAGGTCAGGCCTCACATCCCATTTTCTTCTACAAGTGACAATGGCCTCCCACAGCCACCAATGGGAATAGGGAACTGCAATTTGGACCCTTGTTTGGATTCCCAGATTTTCCTTTTTATTTTGTCATATATACTACTAGTACTAGCATATCCTTTTGCGTTTGGAGGTGGGGGGGGGGGGGGGCGTCCTTGTTTGGACGAGTCAAAAAAAAAAACATTGGGAAAAGAAGACAAAAGTGGGAGCCCCTATCATATTCATATCATATGTAGGAAATGGATTATATATGCCATATAACAATTAGCCATAAAATTA